TGAGTTCATAAATTGAATTCCACGTTCTTTAGTTCGGTAGCTCATTGTAATCCCTGTCTAAGGCTTTGTGAACGATTTTGAATAAAAAGTCGGTTTACCAAAAGGGTTTTAAAGCGCTAAAATGCATAACATAGAAAGTATTCACTCTTTGACGAAAATGACGCGACGTTGCACACTGTTAATGGCTTTATTCTAAGTCGCTTATGGGTATTTTTAGATACTCAGTGATCAAGATAAATCAATTCAATATAACTAGCGAAGAAATAAACTACTCTATGCTTGTACTTGCGACTCAATGAACTCGCATTTCTTTCTGTCTTTGTTTCTCAATCTACTAAGAGTAATTTCAAGCAGTTCTTCCGAGCTACAAGGAATTAAACCCGGCTCTAAAGACTGTGAAAACTGTTTGTGGCCGTCTTTATATACTCTACTGTCAGATGCTTGATTCTCAGTAGCCCAGTTACATCGGTTTTATAAACAGAATATTTCATGAGTAGCCTAAAGTTGGTCATAGGTAGAGCGCGGTCCGCTGCGAATGAATCGACCTTGTTTGAGCTCCTTTAGGTTAAACTATAAACTGGGACGCCTACAGATTTGTTTTTCTCTCGGTATCCAATCCTGTCTTTGTTATTACCATGAAATTATAAGGCCCACTTCTTAAATTCAGCAATGTGATTCCAACACAAACTTAGGTGATTTCAACCCAGGCAGGGTGTAGATTGCCCTAAAAAAATAATTCTACCATCCCAGATGTTTAACGTAAGATTTTGCATAAGATCATTTCAAACTTAATGATAAAATTAAAATGTTTAGTCTCAGAAAGATTGTATTTTTCTTTCGGTAATTCGATTTTATTGACGTAGGACATTGACGCGTAAGACACAGCGGGGTGCCACAAGGCTTTGCTATAGTACCTCTTCTCAGCGCCACTTCTTACCCGAAGAAAACTTCGCATATTTATCAAGGAAAGCACTTGTCGCCACAGCCACAGACGTCCAGATAAAACTTTTCGAGCTGTCAAATAATAGAGCTCAGTTATAACTAATTCTTAGCGAGTAAAGAATGTACTTATCTCTAGCAGTCAAGTCCATCAGTCGTAACAGCTGGGTGATGAGATAATTTTTTGGGGCCGTAGTGTCGGGTAAGGAGAGTACGCTGCTACAGGATAGGTTGAATGCTGCGATATGCAACAAGATAAAAGCACTACGTATAGGACCACTGATATCAAATAACTACGAAACAAGCGGTGAGTAAGCTAGCAAGCTAGAACTTCGTGCTCAAATATTTATTTAAAAACTATAATTTTCGCTTCTCGCTGCTCGGCTCGGGAATGCATGGAAAATATTATCTGTGCTATCTTTGATCTTATATATATTCTGGGTTTTTTTCTTCTTCTCTTGGAGTTTTATTTGATTCAAGCAATATTTGTACGGCTCAATGAATATTATTTTCTGAAATTAAAAAATATATTTTTTCCCGCCCCATGTTTATGGCCGATTCTTTGCTTTACCACTACTCAAATGTCTTGTACCATGAGGAGTCTCAGTGTGTGTCTTTTTCTCCGGACTAGATTCACAACAGACTTGTTGTCAGACACAGATAAAAAGCTCAAACGTCCATTAACACATATATAACTCACTTTACCCACAAACACCTCGTCAAATTGGCATAAGCACTTGCCCAGATATTACGCCAATAACAGCTGTGGAATTTCCGAGAACAATCTTACTTTATGCTGAATTTTTTGGCCAGGGGCATCTAGTAAGAAATAAAGAAAATAAAGGTCCATTTGACAAAGGAGGTAACGGTCAGAATTACTTCCCAGCACGAAATAAATACAACTTAATACAGAAAGCGCTACATGCAGATCACTACAAGTAAAGCAGGTGTCGCAGTATTTAGCACTTGTTTAGAAGTCTCTCAAATTAAGCAGTCATCAAACAAAAGGTCGAAGATACAAATATCTGTGTGTAGTAATATGTCTTTCAGCCGATCCGGGAGCCTTCCTACTTGTCTCTCAAAGAATTTGTTCAAAGAAATTCGCTTTGTTTAAAACCTATTCAGTGCTTCTTCGGCAAAGATGCTACACTACAAAGCTAGTATGATATTGTAGACATTGTTAAGTGAAATGTTTAGCTGATGCAAAGCAAAGGATGAGGTTTTACAATTCTCGACTTTATTGCAGGATAGAATTGTGTGGCCATTGTGTTGTTCGAATATTTCCCGATAAGATTAGGTCTAGGAGTATACTCCTAGACGTAAAAGATTAGGGCTAGGAGTATATATATACCAAAAGCAAATACTATTGATAAGCAAATTAGTAATGTTTTTGTTACTTAGTATTCTGGCCATTTATGTTCGATTATTAGCGAGATAAAATGTTTAGTAGCAGGGTTCTTAGTGTGTCGTCTGTTAACCGGTAGATCACAATACCATGAAAAACACCACAGAAAAGGGGAAAACAAACATAAAAATAACTAAGGATAATTACCGCAGAATTAAAAAAAGCAACAAATAATAGTTGAAGCAGATGCAAAAAATAAAATAAAAAAGCAAACAAAGTGAACGCCGTTAAATACACGAGCAAAGCCATCCCAGCGAGAATACAAACAAACGAAAAATAAACAAACAAACAAAACATTGAGCATAGTACATCAACTGAATGAAACAGTAAAAGAAAAAAAAAAAAAAAAAAAAAAAAAAGAGAAAGAGAAAGAAAAAGAAAAAAGAAAAAAATCGTCGAAAGTTTTGCATGACTGTAAAAAAAGTTGAATGAAAATAGGAAGAAAAACTAAAAAGCTAAGATCAGAAAACCTTAACTACTTACGAAATAAAGTTTTGTTTCGGGATTCTGTTCACAAGTCGTCTTAGGAAGACCACGAAGTCAAAGACAACCCCAGCGTGGCAACTCGCTCAGTAAAGTGATTAAATCGACTTGAAAAAATAATACTTAAACCAAAAAAACAGACAGGTTTAAATAAGAGAAAAGAGGTAATTAACTCGTGAAAAGCATACATATGTGTCGTTGTCATAAACGCCTTATTTTTTAGCACTTTTCGTAATATCTTTTGTATATAATGAAAATGACAACAACGCGATGTTCAAACATCAATGTAAACATGTCATGTTTAAGGATTTTCGTATCTGACAGTTTGACATCCTGAAATTTGCTTGTAGAATGTTTTTTGAAAAATACTGTTTGTTCCATTAAAACTTAAAATATTTTAAAGGTGGTAATGTTTAGGTGGTTTTTGGAGTAGGATAGTATTAGGAACGCCTTTGGAATTTCGCTTAATTTATTTTATTTTTTTGTAACTCGCGTAGTTTGTAGAGCGCTCATGATTTCATTTGTCATATTTGGGAAACAATATGGCAAAATTTAAGCCGTACTGTAGTCGTACTGTATCTTGCCTTAACCGTAAATGCGCGTTGTGTTTGGATAATTTACTTAAAGACAATAGGAAGTCAATGTTTTGTAATCATTCCTAAGTGAATAAAAGTGGCAGCCATGTTGGATGATGTTCGCTATAGGTGGTTTGTAATCATTCCTAAGGGAATAAAAGTGGCAGCCATGTTGGATGATATTCACTATAGGTGGTTTGTAATCATTCCTAAGGGAATAAAAGTGGCAGCCATGTTGGATGATATTCACTATAGGTGGTTTGTAATCATTCCTAAGTGAATAAAAGTGGCAGCCATGTTGGATGATNAAAAAAAAAAAAAAAAAAAAAAAGTTAAAGCAAAAACAAAAACAAAACAAAAACCGTAAACTCGCACACAAAAAATATTTTTTTAGATTTATCTAGAATACAAGGACTGAACCTTCCTCTAACTATAAGTGTTTTTCTGTGAGTCGAATGAACATTGTCATCAGTAGCAACCGCTTGTGTTCTTTTAGGCGGGAAAATCAGCGCCTCAGATGACGCGTGCGCCTAAATTATGCCGCCAAAACACTGTTAGAACAGTCATTTTATTTATATGTAATATTTAAGAGGTTGTTCAGCAGAATATTTTTGGTTTTCCCACATTATTTATGTTGCATAACCTATACATTGATTTCTGCTTTAAGTACATCTATTATTCAATGTGCAGTAAAGATAATCTTGAATTTAAAGGCCATTTGCTAGCCATTAGGAAGGCGTTTAGCCTCGTTTGCCATTTGCATTGATGTTGATAATGATGACCGGGGATAGCTGGTTATCTTGCGTCTCATTTCTTAAGCGTCAGACTTGGCTAAGATAAGGGTTAAGAATGGCTATTAGTGGGGCTTTACAGAGTCATATTATTCTCTAAAGCTTGAACCCTTTCGATGTGCAGAATGCAGGAAATGTATTGCGACTATCTCCAGGGATTTGAGAGATGTGGTCGAGTCTATTTAGTCGTAAAAGCAGTGTGTTACTCTTATATTTTGTCAGTGTTTGCAATAGGATTTGTAGATAAAATTTAGAACGGCTTTTAGCAAGGAGCGTTAATTAATGGATTAAAAAAGCGTAGATTGCTATCACAGGATAGAGTATTTTAAAAATAATGTTTAAGAAGGTATATTTCTGTTCGCTGTAGTCGAAAGGCAAGTATTCCAAGAAGGGCATGGACGATTGCTGACTATACTCGGCACTCAATCGACCGTGTAAATATATGAATTAATTTTACGATAACCTTAGCTAATCTAAAACTCTCAAGTCAAAAAGTTATCCCATCCTCATCGATAACCCAAAGACGCAATATAGTCAAACGATCAAAATCATTAGTTTTTATCAAGAAAAAATGTCTTTTGATCGCGGTTTCTTTACATCCATTGTTTCCCCACAGAATACTGACGCCTTTGTATTTTCCTCGCATAACAAGATAAAGCACGATCACATTGTCGGTGTCTAATCTCTCCAGTTGTTAGCTCTTTCATGTGACAAGTGTTCCTAGGTATCTTTACTTATTGACGTCATTGAGGATGTCTCATTTGCGCTAAGCGAAATAACTCAGAAAATTATTGCTTTTAGAGTCGTGAACGGTTGGTAGGCCCTTCAGCTAAAATATCAAGACGTTTTGATCATTCTTCGTGCGATTACGTAGCCTTCTGAGATCAAGGCATGTAGTATAGTGAGTCAACGGTTTATGCTTTATGCGGTGCCTTGGCAGTGACGTAAGCTTCGTTTATTATGGTTTATTATTTGTACACATTAGATTTTCAATCTGTCTAGTACTTTTATTTATATACATAGAGCGTGATTATGGTGAATAATTTTCTTTTCTTTTCTTTTCAACTCTTACGAAATGGTATCAATTGAACAAATTAGAACACACGGTTTCCAAGTCTTGTAAGTATGTTTTATTTCCTCTTATTTATCTACTTTTCTTTTTTCCTAATGGGATGGAGTACTCTTACCTGTACGAACATAATTATCCCCAGGGGATGGAGTACTCCTACCTGTACGGAGATTATCCCCAGGGGATGGAGTACTCCTACCTGTACGGAGGTTATCCCC